AACCATCTGAAAAAGAAAATCAAGAAAACAATCCCATTTACAATAATGTCAAAAAGAATTAAATATTTAGGAAAAAAATTTATCCAAAGAGGAGGTGTGAAGCTTTTGTACGGAAAACCACAAAATATTGCTAGAAGAGGTTAAAGAAAACCTAAATAAATGGAAAGACGTCCTGTGCTTATGGGTTGGAAGATCTAACATTGTTAAAGTTGAAATACTTAAAGTCATCTAGATCTGGAGTGATCCCCAGGGCAGACAGGGCTGGAGTGACCCCTGGTGAGCGCTGCCTGTGACGGACATTCTTAGGGGCTAAGCACCACGGCTGTGACCTTACTCCAGCTCAGGACTTGCCACTTGATCCATGGGATTGTTTAGCCTTTGATTGATGGCCTTTCCCTGGGCCATGAGCTGCACACTCCGTGTGGTCTGCTGGTCTGCAGCACCCAGGCTGGGGGTCCGTTGCAGATGCCCCTGACACCTGGGGAACCCGTCGCATTGCTGCTGGCCCTTCCTCATGCCCCAGCCCCTCTGCTTCCTCAGAGGCAGGCCGTGGAGCTTCCTGGGTGTGGAGATTCTGTGCTGGGGAAGCCAGCATCTGTCTGTGTGGTGCTTGAGCCGGGGCACAGGACAAAGATGACCAGAACCTGCTGTGGCAGGCAGGTGTCTGGGGTGAGCAGGGAGGCCCGCCCACGCCAGTGGGGCCCAGGCAGGGCTGCAGCTTGGGCCTTGGTCTCCCAGGGTCTTCAGGAGGTGGGTGCCAGGTGTGACTCACTCCCGTCAGCAGGAGCCTAGCAGCGGTGATGTGTGCTGGGTTGTAAGAAGGGACCAAGAAAAGGGAAAGCAGAGAACCAGAGCCAGCGGAGGCCGTGCGAGCTGCTCATGTCTGGCCTCCAAGCAGGACATGCAATCACGTCTGCATCTACCGCTCGTCCGGCTCCTGTCTGGCCTGCAGACCCGCCTGGTGTGGGTGAGCTACACACTGCTGTCACGGAGGAGTCCCTGGCGGGCCGCTGCTTCTCCACAGGCCCAGGGGCCGTTCTCTGAGGCTGGCAAGCACATGGAATCCCTCATCTTTACACACAGGCTCCACGTCACTGGGGGACTCATCCTGGGATCGAGGGGAGAGGAGAGCAGGTAATCGGTGATCCAGAAAGTTCAGAATCCCTGAGCACCTAGGTGTGCGTCGACACGGAAACAACAAAGCACAGCATGCGAAGAGAGGGCGGCAGTGGCTCTAGTCTCGGCAGTGAGGCCCATTCAGCCCAGAGTCCAGTCTCCGAAGGCTGGCGGCCTCCACCGACTGTACTCTCCAGTCCTTGACCGAGCCCTGGTCAAGGTCAGGTCCTGACCCCAGACTCTAAACCCCCAAACACAGGGGGGGTCCCGGGGTGTTGGTCCCCTCTCCAACCGTGTTCTCTGTGGCGAGAGGAGTTACCCCGCGTTAACCTGGCCACACCGCCCCCAGAGCTCACGCAGAAACGGCTGCAGGCTTGCACATGTCCACCCACTCGAGTCCTGCAAGACTGTGTGGCTGTATTTTCCTTGAAATCCCTCTGAAATGGGCTTGGTTTTCCCCAAAGCCGAGCAGAGGTGGGTGTTGAGAGCAGGCAGACCCCAGTGTGGGCCTTCAAGGAAAGCAATGGCTTCCCGAACACCGAGGGCTCCGACAGCGTCGCCGGAGTTCACGCCGAGCGTCTCGGGAGCAGCCGCCTTCATCTCCTGCAGGGAACCTGCCGAGCAGGCTGGGGACACGGGAGCTGGCCCAGGGCCCAGCGAGACGCGGTGGGCACGGGACAGCCCGAAGGGTTGAGAGCCACGGGCGGCCTGTCCTTTCCTCCCAGAAAGCTCTTTGAACTCAGGAACCAATGCCCGCGCTGCTCACGAGTTGGGGAGTGGGGCTGGGATGAAGACCAAAGATGCCCACTGTGGGGCTGATGGGAGGAGCCCCTCCTACTGGAAGCTTCTGGGTGACTCGAGCACCTCTGTGGGGGACTGAGAAGAAGGGCTCCGGCCCTGGATCCTCCGCCGGGGTCTTGACGATCATCCTCTGGTCTCCCCGGGGAGGCACAGGCCCAGCCTGTTCCCCCACCGGCCCCAGGCCAGGCCAGAGGGAGCAGTGGAGGGGAGCAGACAACCCCCACCCCCAAGTCTGCACCTGCAGAGAGGTATGCAGGCCACGCCCACGGTCAGCCACGGGGACAGGGCTGGGGAGGCCGAGTGACCAGGCATGGCAGTGACCCAGAGATGCTGCTGGAATCACAGCACCATGTGGATGCCCGTCAAAGTCAGGGTCCTTCTGTACCAAAGAAGGGGGGCCCAGCGGGGGGGGGGGGG